CGTGTCTAGGGCAAATTGAAGGAAAAAGCAAAGATTGGCTTTGCTTGGCCTTTGCACCGCCTCGCCCCGACGCCAATACGACGCGAGGGAGCAAAAAAAAAAAAATTAAAAAACGGCATCACCAAAAACTCTCCCTCCAAACCCTCAATCAAAACTTCAAACCCCAAACCCCAGACCCCCAAAAACAGTGGCCCTCGACGTACGTACGCTCTTCCTCTTCCAGGGGACGCCAATCTCGCAGCTCCAAAGCGGCATCTTAGGCGAAAGACGATCTCAGTGAAGCAGTCCAGGCTCGCATAATCGAAGGCTAAAAGAAACTGCCCGCCCCACTGTTTCTGCCGCTCGGCCACTCAGGTGCCGCGTCTGGTCCCCCCTGCCGGCTTTTTCTCCCTTCCCGCTGAACGACTCCCTGCAACTCTCCCCATTGGCGTTGCGAAAACGACACACCCCCTGCTCTGCGTTGAAGCCACCTGGTGCTTTTCTTTCGTGTCCTCAACGGTCTGTACAGCTTCCTCTGTTCTTTTTCCTTTTCTTTCATGCTTGTTGGCTGCCATCATCCATCACTCCCGTGCTCCGGCAATTGGGCCTTCCCCTTGCCCTCTATTCGTATTTCTACCTTTTCTCTTGCCCGCCCAAGTCCCGCAGTGGCCAGTTTTTAACGTTTCTGCCAGCTTGCGAATCGCGCTGGTTTGCCGCTGCAGACAGCCTCGCTGCATCGCCCGTGGGTGCAATCGTTGCAGCATCCAGCCAACGGCGGCAATCTCTGCAGCTATCCGACAATCGATCGAGCGCCTGATCATTGCGTTGCCTTGGTCTCTCTTTGAGAATCGAAATACGTTGCCTCAAGACAAAGAGAGCAGCAGTTCTCTCCACTCGTCTTCATCTCCCTCTCCAGCTCGGGAGTCCATCTCGTCCGATCCATTGACAGCTATTCACGACACCAACAGTGGCCCCAAGTCATCATGGCTGATACGAATATGCTCTACACAGTCGGCGCTTATGCTGCCTTGATTGGTGTTGGCTATGCCTTCTACGTCGTCTCAACGCAAAAGGACAAGAAGAAGGGCGGCGTCACCATCACCAAGCCCGTTAAGGACTCACAACCAGTGACTCGAAAAGAGGACCGGAAAAAGAAGCAGCGCATGGAAAGCTATGTGACAGACCAGGACACCAACAAGGCATCCAAGGCCGATACCCAAAAGGCAAAGGCCGCCGAGACTCCTCAGTGGTCGAGCAACCAAAAGGATGCCGAAAACCAAGAAAAGATTGACAACCGGGAATTTGCCAAGCAACTTGCCAAAGCCAAGGAGGGCGCCAAGTTCAACACAAAGAACGATGGCCCCAAGCAGCGAGAGAAGACCGTCAAGCAGTCCAAGGCTAACAAGCCCAAGGCTGCTCCTGCTCCTGCCGCCCCCGAGGCCGTCCCATCTGCCCCTTCGTCCAACGGCGCTGATGCCGATGACGACGAGTCCCCTGTTGTCCTCTCTCCCGCGACAAAGCCAGCGGACGTCAGCGGTGTCAGCGACATGCTCGAGCCCGCCCCCGCCGGTCCTTCCGTTCTGCGTCTGACTGATACTGAGTCCAAGAAGGACAAGAAGCAAAAGGCTCCTAAGAACCCCGAGCCAGCTGAGACCAAGAAGCAGAGACAGAACAGGAAGAAGGCCGAGGCTGCCAAGGCTGCCCGCGAGGAGACCGAGAAGGAACGCAAGGTCCTTGAGGAGAAGCAGCGACGAACTGCTCGCATTGCGGAAGGCCGCACCGCCAAGGATGGCTCCGAGTTCATGGCTGCCGTCAACGGAAACAAGAATGCCTGGGATGGAACCAACGGAACCAACGGTGCCGCTGAGAAGAAGGAAGACGCTTCCCTCTATGCGCCTCTCGACACCTTTGAGAAGCCTGCCCAGAAGAAGAAGGCTGCCGAAAAGGCCACTCCTGCCCCTGCTCCCAAGAAGGAGGCTGTCCAGAACCTAGAGAGCTCCTGGATCTCTGCTCTCCCATCCGAGGAGGAGCAGATGGAGATGCTCAAGGAGGAGTCCGATGAGTGGAACACCGTTAAGAGCAAGTCTTCCAAGAAGGGCAAGAAGGCACCTTCGGCTGAGTCTGGAGAGGAGACTCCCGCGGCTCGCCCCGCCCCTCAGCCCAAGCAACTCTCCGAAACCAACGCCAACAAGTCGACCAAGCCTGTGGCTGCTAAGAGCTTTGGAGGCTCATTCTCTGCGTTGACCGTTAAGGGCGACGATGTGGAGGACGACGCCGAAGAGGAGTGGGATGTCTAAACACACAAAGAAGCACGACGACGAGAACCACCGTGCATGTGTTGCGTGCATTGCACAGTCGCCGGGAGCAGCTTGAGAGCTGCTTGCCCGCCTCTGTATACTATTACCTGCTGACAAACCATAACTGTCGGTATTTCCTCTTTGCTAGTTTCTATGACTGTCATTTCTATGTTGGATCTGGAGGCATTCTCCAAAGAATCTACCGCGGGAGGTAGGAGGGAAAAAAGGGGATAAGACCTGTTGATGTACACTTGATCACTTGGCCAGCGGCTCAGGGGCTTGCAGATTTAGCCAGCCCAGCATAGCGTACAAGTGCCGCATGGTCGACCAAAGTTTTTTTTTCTTCACCCATTTTTTTGTTGTTATGATATTGGCTGTTGAAGAGCAAGACTGGGAAATTTAAAAAAAGGTCTCGCAATGGACGCAAAAACGGAGGATACAGATGCTACAAGCGAAAATTTCTGAAGGACGAAGGACGATGGATGAGATACAAGGGCGCTCGTGTGTGTAAATACTCCGTTGGTATCAGCTCGCAAAATGGGGCAAATCTACGCTTGCTATGATTGATGATGTTTGTTTGCTGTGATTTGAAATGTGACGGATGTGTATGTGTTCATGTGTGTGTCTGGTGAAGCAGCCGCGTATTTTGGGAATATTTGGGCATTGATCATAAGTACTTTTTTGCTGAATTATAAGTGTAATCAGCAGTATTATGACTGTATACTTGCACGCGTATGGCCACGTATTTTACACTCATTGATTGAATGATGTTGCTACAATTTCAACCTCTCCTCATGCTCATGGAGTTTTGCGTCTACGAGGTCGATAGAGGTGAAGCTAGGCGCTGTCTCCATGCTCTAGTGTGCCTCTAGGACTTGCTACTAGGCCCAGCTAATGAAAGATTCAGTCCCCCAACCTACCGATTTGGAGGTGGGCAGCACAACGTCCTTAGCCAGTTTGGTAATGCTGGTGCCTGGATGTGACACCCCCTTCCATTCCCCAGACATGCCGAGTGCTACAATGGCATTCCTACAGCGTCCCTGCCCGTTGAATGTCTCTTGTTCCCCTCGTCAGCCCGGACAATGGGCTCCTTTGCTGTCCGTTGTTGGGTTGTGGCTATGGGAGGGCATTACGTGGCTACGACGACAAATGTTCGTAATGGGCCACTCACACACACTCAAAAAGCCAACCAGCATCTCCGCCTTCGCATTTGGTGGCGTGGCCCCGAAGGTGGTGAGCCGGAAGCCGGGTTGCCGTCCAAGGGACCCTGCAATAGGATCCAGCGTCTGGAGAATGGAGTCGCTGCAACCCAGGATGGGGATCTTTTTTGCTTAGCGGCCACGCGGGGGCTATTCCCCGACTCTCCATCGAGATGGCCCTTTTTTATGGGTTGGGGGAAGAGGGAGGCGATTTTGCATGGTTTGGGATTTCAAACGAGGGCAAAATCTCTTGATTTCATTTGGCGGGGAGATCGAGATGGAGTGCTGGCATCCCGGGGGTGGTTTATGTTCATTGTCTGGTTCTTGTTTCTTCGTTATTCTTTCTTGTTGCTGTTGTGGGATGCACGGATGGACGGACGGTCGTGGTTCCGAGACGGCCTTTTTGCTTGCCACTTGGCGAAACGGGCGTGCCGGCTCCTGGTGGCACCCTTTCGCTGGACAGCTTTTCTCTTTTGCAGTGAGGCACTGCGGATTACGGCGTATTATTAGCATTTGGGCATTCGATTGTGCCTCCCGCCGGGCCCGAGATAGCAAGCAAAGTCATGCAATATCCATTCTTTTTTTTTTTTTTTTGTCTCATCCCACCTCTGACTGCGTCGTACACGGAACGCCGGGATGAGTGATATACTTGAATCTTTTCGTTGTCGTCTGCCCGTCAGCAGGTGGGGGAAGACGCACGGCCAAGAAAAGTTGACGAGTCGTGAGGGGAAAAAAAGAAGGTTGAAACAATTCTTTGAGGTCCAGAGTTTCGGTCGAATGCTAGCTAGCTTCGGTCCTTGTCAGTGCGTTGGTTTTTGGCGAGGCAAAGCAGTTGGCGGATGACGACGTGGCATCTCGGTATCAGATGCGGCCACCGCTTCTCACGGGTGTTAACCTTTGAGTCAATTCAGGCATAATCCAATGCATCTGCCCAAGTCATTGGAAACAATTGAAGTTTAAAAAGACGCAACGCATGATCATGTTTGCTTTATGCGAGCAAAAGTCACTCGAAGTCTGTGATGTCAGGTTTCAAGAGGCGCCGTCTGCGGATAGCAAATAGGACGGCGTGGATGGTCAACATGTTGCCATTGGCGGCCACACACGAGCGGACGGCGCAACTTAGTTTGAAGAGATGAAGATGCTTGCTACAAAGAAGGTTAGTAGCGCTGGGCCTAGTCGTACAGCGGCTGCCCAGTGGTTGGTGCAACAGGGCCAGACGTCGAAATTCAATTTGCATCCCGGACCCTGGCCTGGCCTGGCCCTGTCCTGTCGAGGCGAAAAGGGAACAAGGGTGATGGGCACAATTTGGCTGGGCCACGCTCGTACAGATGCTCGTGCTACGTGTGCTAATGAAACGAACGACAAGCCATGGCCTCCCCCGTTTCCGCGCTCTCGCTTGACTGGCCCTGGATCCCTGTTTGACGGCCGTGGATCCCAATGTTGTGCCGCCGAGATCCTCTGGTTTGTGATGATGATGCGCTGCGGAAATCCCTGTCGTGGGCAAGAGTTGAAACTTGAAACGCAAGAGCAGGCTGGTGTTTGTTTCATGAGCGAGGCCAAGAGGGCCGCGGTCGCGCGCGCGAAGTGAAGCAGAGTAGAGCAAAAATACGGGGAAGCGCCAGTGATTGAGATGCTACTCGTACTACTATGGATGGATCCCCTAGGCGGTGACGGGGCCCGGAGCACTAAGATATTGGGGGCAGGTACCCGTGCGTGAAGTAAAATGAGAGAATATCTCACGACTCCGTATCTGGTACTAGTTGTAATTGCGAGTGTGCAAGTACGAGTACTAATAGATAGATGGGCAGGAGAGGAGGCGCCTGTTTGAGCTGAGGCCGCCCAGCTGTTTTCTTTTTCTTTTCTTTTTACTTATTCGAGATGAAGTGAATTGTGTGAATAATGATGTATACGAGTACATGTAGTTGAAAGTATCAATCGGATCAAATTCAATGGCCCGATCAAAGTGGGATTGGGTTTTAGCCAGGCGGCCTTTTAGGTTCCGCCGCCGCGCCTCACTGCAGAAACTCTCGGGTGCCATGCGCCGAGCCGGACCAGATTGCCTGAGTCGTCACAGCGCTGTTTGAGGCCTTTGTCAATTGTGGCGACCGCTACTGTCTGGCCCCAAGCCCAAGCGGCAGCACTACTCGAGCATTACAGGCATTGGGGATGGGCGGGGTTTGGGTTTGGGCTCAACTAGCACTTGATCCATTGAGCCTGACAATCCATCATAAGGCCCCTGCTCCCTCTGATCTGCGGTTCGCTACGTTGGCTTGTAACATTTGCTGCCAGTCAATCAATATCAAATCTGCATTGATCCATCTCCATCCGTATCTCCAGCTGTTCTGCGCTCTTCTGTAGCGCCACGTCTGCAGCACTTGACCAATTCACAGCAGAGCACCGGACAGCACTGAGCCCGACAGCACAGCTCAGCACAGCCCGGCACCAGCGTCGCAACACCAGCGCCGCAGCCGCCAGACATTTCAAGACCCCGGCCAAATTGCATTTTGGTCAATTTGATTGATTTGATTGCAACCATCAACCATCAATCAGCACACCACCGCACACCACCGTACGGCTGCTGTGCCCATCGTTTCTTCTTCCTCTCGCCTGGGCGCTTCCCCAGTCGACTTCGCTCCTCTAATCACCCCCGGCGCCGTTTTATTTTTGGCGGTGCGTCTGCCGCGCTTCTGCACTGAAACTCGTCGCCTAAGCACTTCTCCCTTCTCGGCAATGCGCACTTCGCCTCGCCATCTCTCCAGACGCTCGCTCTCCTTTCCGCTGCTCACGTCTTGCTTTGTCGATTCTTGTCGTCCGTAAACCCAACGGAATCCTGCCTCATTGTCGCTTTCTTTCCTTTCCTGTCATCTCCTGTTCTGTCCTTTCTCTCTTTACTATTGTGACGACTTTCAATTTCTTGTCTTTTCTCTTTTGTTCACGGCTTTGGCTTCGTTCCTTCCTCCATTTCTCACGCAATCTGCCTCTGGGGGCGTCTTGACACTTGAAACTGTCGCAGCCCCCCCTTTACTTTCTTGACGATACCTGTACTCTCTTTCCCCCCACGCCCCAATCGAACTACGAACTATCGAATTTCTTGCATTCCAGTTTGCTCGACGACGGAATTTTTGTTACGGACAGCTGTTTGGTTGTTATTTTTCTGCTTTTCATTTTCCTTCATTATTTGCTGGGCTCTTTGGAGGTTTCTCTCACGGCTGGTTTACTGCGTCTCCTACCCTCGTTTCGAATCCGCCTTCTTAAACACGCCATCTTTCTTCCATGCTGGACACACCAAACACCAATTGAAAGGCCATCGTGATACGGGGACGTGCCCGGTAGCCGTCCAAAATGTCTTTCCCCGTCGCGCTACAGTCGGCCATCTTCTACCTACTTGCCTGCACACCATGCGCCGAGGTACGGCATCGGGCCAAGGCCAAGGACCAGGCCAAGAAGGAGAGGGTGGAAAAGGCAAAACTAGAGACGCAACAGCCTGGCCTATATCGACACCCGTCACCGTTCAACACCAATCCTTACTGGGCAGAAGAGATCAACATGGGACCTAGTCTACCGAAGAAGTCGACGAGCAAAAACTCGAGTCAACGGGGCCTGATGAGCGCGGGAGGTGAAATCAGTGCTCTTAGCCTATCAGGGCGCACGAATACCGGCGACAGTCACACCAATTACGAAGACAGCACGCTGGTGGTATCACAAGATGGCATCTTGTCCGACGACTGGAATAGCCGACATGGATATCAGCGCGAGGATGAGGAGCTCTGGGGTGCAGACTGGTCTGGCGCCAAGCTCAAGGACGCCTTCTCCAAGGCGAGAGATTCTGCGGGGCGATTGATTGAGTCAACGCTGGGTATGGAAAAGGAAGTAACAGAGGAAGAGCGCCGCGCCTTTTATGCGGCCCCGCGAAACCCCCCCGTCAACGACTTACACCCGCCCGTCGTTAGCAGCAAGCTTCCTCACAAGGAGGCTCACAAATGGATGCTTCAGCCGCCGCCGTCAGCCAAGGTCATGGAGGGCAAGGTGCCCGTCAGCAGAGCCATGAGCTCCAGCAGTAGGACAAGCGGGAGAACCATTGCGGGAGGAGAAGAGAAATTGGCTCGCCAACTCCATGAGAAGCTAGTTAGGGAGAAGATTATGAAAGAGATGCCTACCGAATCCGAGCTTATCGACTCTTTGTTCGTTACCAGAACTCGGAGCACCCGGTCCGACATGACGCGGACCCGTAGCCTGTCCTTTGACGGCTCCGACGAGATCTTGGACGGCAGCAACAACTCTTTCGAAAGGCGGAGGCGAAGCAACCGCCTAAGGGCCTTGGCTACCCCCCCCGGATTTGAAGAATCCGAGGATGAGTACGAAGATATCTTTTCATCACGAATTACCAAGAGCAACAGCCACTCCAGCCAGCCTGGTCATGCGGCTCAGCGACCAAAGCTGGAAACCATCAACAGCAGCGAAGGTAGCAACGGCCGCTCGCGATCCAAGAGGTCAAGACGGCAGAAGTCTACCAGGTCGAAGAAGACTCTCTCCGGAGCAGGGTCGCCTGTTGGAGACGACTCTGATTAAAGACGCACCATTTGAAGCGTTCTTGTATTAAAGCACTGAAACGGTTGCCGCACATATCGGCTCCATGATTGCTTTTCTGTTTTCGTTTTTGCTTTGTCTGTCACTTTGACAATTGTTTTTGCTGTCGAACTTTTTTCCATCATCATTTTTCGTTTCTGTTCAAGCATAGCACAAATACGGGCGCTGGGGGAGGCATGCTTTGGGTAGCCTTTGGGTTGGTTCTGCCTTTTTTTTTCCCGGTGCGTGTTTAAAAAGGCATGGCGTATTGGCTTCGATTTTTTGGTTTTTGGTGTACTTGTAGCAAAGACAAAAGAGAGGCAAGATTTTATAGCCTAGAGGTGCAGTGCTAGCTTTGCACAAAACAAAACAAACATTGGATTCTTTATTCCACATACACGTCCTTGATTACCGTCTCTGCTTCCAATGGAAGTGTTCAAGTGTTCTGTGCCCATGAATCGCCATCATCAAACTCTACTGCTCCGTGGTGATTTATGTAGGTAGAAACTGATATTTTGCCTAATAGGGGGGGTATATCGTCGGAGACGGGTGTCCATCAACCCAATAAGGATCCCAAAACGCCAACCATGTAGTCCATCGCTGTCCTTTTTCTTTTCTTTTGCCTGCCTTTCCGTTCCATGTCATATATTCATCATAGATGCAAACCACCCTCCTCCTCATCATCATGGCCATCTTGCCTTTCTGCACCTTGCGTCGTTGATTGCGCCTCGCTCTGGTTCACCGATGTGGTCTGTTCTCCTGGCTGGCTATCAAATCGCACCTGGCCGTTGGATATCGTGCCAGTCTGGAAAGTGCCGTCCGTCCACGCCGAATGCCTCGTCGTCTCTGCCGCTTGGTCGTCCGCAACAACGTCTCCGTTCGTCAGGGCTTCACCCACCTCGGCGTTTGTGTTTGCCTCGACCTCGTCCTGGCTCTGAAACTCGGTCCAGCTGACGCCGCGGTCCTCGACCTCTGCGCGGATGATTGCCAGGCGCTCGGCCATGCGATCGATGACGACCTCGTTCTCCTTGATGGCGTCGATGCAGTCCTGGTCGGGAGCAGCGGGGGTTGCGGACTCGCCCAGCGCGGCAGAGGTGCCGTCCGCAAAGGGCTTGAGCTGGTCGTTTGAGTATTGGAGGTGGGCGATGGAGTTGCGGATTTCGAGGACCTTGAGGTGGAGCATGCCGAGGGAGAGGTCTTTGATGGCGGAGGCGAAGCGCGCGGGGGATATGGGCGTTGTGTCTGCGGACATGGTGGTATTGAGATTGAGATTGGGGGTTTATTTATTTGGGTGCTGGATTGGAATGTCGTGAGTGGATGAGAGCTGTCGAGCATATGCAGAGAGTGAAAGTAAAGTTGAGGTTATCATGGAGGGGCAGCTGTAGCAGTAGAGATGGACTGGACGTCGATTATAGTGGGGTTTAGACAGCTGCAGGCACTGACGCTACTCCGTAATCAGCTTCCAGCTCATTCTACCGTACCTGACACCCCACACTAACACAACAGCAAGATCAATTTGATCTTGAAACATTCAATGCATGTGTCCTCAAACAAAGCTCAAACAGGGAAAGCTACTTGCTCGGATAATGCTACTCAGTTGTTGTATGTCTGTATTATCTGACTTGAAAATCACTTGGACGCATTTCCTGAGCTATTGCTCCATTCATTAACAGTTGTGGTTTGGTATAAGTGACGCAAGGAGCTTATGGAGAGCATCAGTTCTGCATTGATGTAACCTTGTCAAGCAAGTTCTAGACTGCCAATTTATTATATACATGTGCCTATCTAACAGAACGCAAAAAGGAAAAAGACTAAGAAATATAAAGGAAACTCTGGTTAAATCTAAGTTACATGTTAAAGCACAGCTTTAATATTTTCCCCCTTTAAAACACATACTTGAACAAATCAAAACAGTAATTGACTGAACACTTTTTACAGCAACACGGCGGCACCCTGGGTGCTCTTGCTCGCGCCGAGCCCCTTGATCTGGAAATGCTGAACCTGCTTCTTGCTCCTGGCATCCATCACGGTAACCGCAGGCAAAGTGGTTCCGTTACCAGGGCTCAGGGCGTAGATGAAGCTGCCAGCAGCTCGCAGATCAATCAAGCCGGGGTCGCCGTTGGCACTGAGATCAGTGACAGACTTGATGCTAGCATCAGTTGTAGATACCTCGACAATGCGGTTAGAGCTAACGTCTGTAACAAATGCAGTGTTTGTGTCGGGAGAAATGGCAACCCAGCATGTAGCTTTCTGACCCTCGATGGTGGCCTTGCCCTTGATACTGGCGGCACCAGATTCGGCATCAACAGATAGCACAGCGGCTCCGAATGCAGGGTCAGTCACGAAAATGTCCGTAGAATTCTGGATAGTGGATGAACCGAAGAGGACGACGGTTCCGTCCACCTTGGTCAGCTTGCCATCCGTGCTAACAGTGGCAGCGTCACGGGTATCACAAGGCTGATCAACAGGGAAGACACCCAGTGTTCCCGTAACATTGGTCGTGGGGTCACCCTTGACAGTGGTGAACAGCGTCTCTTCATCCCCGGAAAAGAACACCTGAGAGACGGTGAGGGTGGGCCCAACAGGCGGCGTTGTCTGCTTCAAGCCAACTGGACGAAGCTGGTCCATCTTGCCGATTCCACGGGCAGAGAAGGGTGCACAGGCAATACCGGATTTTGCGCCGGATGACCCAACACAGACAATATTGTTCTTGGCCGATGCCGCAACGGTGTTGGGAAAGTCACCGAGGACAGGGACTGGCTGACCGAGCATGGTGAGCTTCAATGGGTTCTTAGGGTCGATGGAGAACATGGTAACCGTGTTGGATCCGGGGTTGACGGCAAACAGATACTGTATGGCAGAGTGAAAAGTTAGTTGAATTCTTTGGCCGTCATTATTACGAGCTGACTTACGTTGCCAGAGATGGTCAAGGCCGCCTGAGAAGCCAGAGCATCGGGGCCTGCAGCCTCCTTCTTGTTATTAGTGATAGTAACAAAGTTGGAGCCCCAGCCGTCGGTCGGGGTGCTGGTTCCCTGGCCCAGCAATCCGTTGCTGTTGATGGGCAGAGCAATCACGCTGTTGCGCGCTCCATTGCTGATCATGTAGAGGGCCTTGCCGGGCTTGAGTGGCGGAGGGCAAGACGACGGCCTGGCTGACGCTTCAGGCACAAGATTTGCCAGTCCGAGGAAAAGCAAGGATGTCCACGTGGAAGTATGCATGGTGGAAGTCGGATTCGTGGAAGGTCGTCAGATCAGGTAGTTTTGATGACAATATCAGTGGTGGCAATGGATAAGCAGCTGTCACAGACAAGCCGCGAATGAGAAGTTGCTAATTGATTGAATGAGTTTAAAAGATGAGAGTGATGTGGTTGAGAACTGAATTGGTAAACAGGCTTCATCACTTCTACTTATACATGCCATCTTCACGATTGTCTCCTGTCTGGCCATTCCCACAACTTGCCGCGTTTCCGACAAACCGCTCCCCGTGCAAAAGCAATTTCTTGTCTCATTTGCGAAAAGCACGCTCTTCTCCGCAACCCGTAACGGCTATTGATCTTTAGAAACCGAATTTTGCCTGTAAGTCAACTCCTCATGAGGAATCTTTTGGCAACTCATATAAGGGCCGTGAGAAGCGCGATAATCAGAATTTCCTAATTGGGAATAACACAAACGGGGTACGGGGTAGCGCAGGATCCCGCGATGAGGCAGCGGAGGGGCTTTGTGAGCGAGTTAGGAGAGTTCGCATTGCCTATTTGGGAAACGCCTACGGAGCAAGGAACATTATCCAGGATCTGCGACGAGGAGGATTTGGACATGATACGACAAAGAGCGTATTGAAACGTGAGGGTTGTAAGTTGACCATGGGATTGGAGGAGCATAGATGCTTCAATGTTCTTAGGAGGCGACCAATTTAAGTCTAGATTATGCTAATTGTAACTCTAATTTGTTAGGAAGAAGAAGAAAACGGCCTTTGACTCCAATCATCTCAGCTGTTTCATCGCAGCAAAAGGGACAATAAGAGCATGCTGATTAAGTGCTACTACAAAGCCGTAATGGAGGTCGATAGTGCACGCACGGCATTGCTTAGCCTATTTCGGGAATAGATGCCCCCCTGATGTCACTTTGTAAACTCGAGAATGACATGGTCTAGACACTTCCGTATCTCAGCCTCTCATCATCCAATTAGGCATTGACAGCAAACCAATTCCCTCCATAACTGGGCCTCCTCACACCGTACTCATAATGACCGACAGAATATTCCGCATCTTTAACCCGGGAGGTTGGTCCGACCCCGGGGCCTCTTCATCAGATCAGCCCATCTGACTAATAGCAAATGGCGAGTTCCTGGCTTGCTGACCCTGGAGCAAAACAGAACCAAAGGGTGATCCCGTTGAGAAGAGGCGCGCCCAGCTGCGACGTGCCCAACAGTGAGCGCTTTTGCCCCTGGATTTGGATTCTAACGTGGCTAACCGCTGGCCATAAGATCTTATCGAGATCGCAAGGACAAGTACACCAAGGCGCTCGAGGCTGAACTAGCACGGTCTCGGAAGAGCGAGGCGGGCTTGACGTCCCAGATTGAGCAGCTTCGTGCCAAAGTCCAGAAACTGGCCAGTCTCTTGTCCCAAAATGGCATCTCGCTTCCTTCAGATTTTGACGATGAGGGCCAAACTCGTGATGATGTATCGCGTATAGATGCATCCCCACTCACAACGCGTGGACAACCACCAGCCGCTGATGGCTTCCTATCAAGTACAGATTCAACCTCTCCAGAGTCGACAGCGGGCCAAGGCGTTGTCTTTAATAGTGGAAATCGTACTCTACGGCAGTACGGTTCGAGAATCTTTGCTCGACATCATGAACCGCAAGTTCCAGCGCCGACAAGGACCGCGGCCGCTACCACCCAAGCTGAGCCCGGCGACAGGACTCGTCTTGCTGAACTTGATCCCACACAGGTCGGAATGGAGTTTGTGCTCACGTATGCTATCAACATCTCACAGGATAGCGAAAAGAGATACTAACCAAAAATATTATGCAGACTAGAAAGGCCTTGTCTAAACCATCTACACGGAAATCCCAAAAAGCCCCTAGAGCCACACGGCCATGCTTTGACCACTACAGTTCAGCTTCAGGCCTCCTTGTCACTTCCTCCGATCGATCCAAAGAACCCTGTACCTCCGTCATACCACAATGCTCCTGCAGCCGTACTCGACCGTTTATTGAATCTTGCCCCAAGTGTATCACCAGACGGCGACGTGACGCCGATACAAGCGTGGCATTTCATCCGTCGCCAACCGCAATTTGGAGGTTTCGAGGTGCAGCGTCTCAACAGGCTGGCGGAGAGGCTACGGGAAGCAGCAAAGTGTCACGGGTTAGTTGACGAACATTGAAGACACCCTCTTGGGAGATTGGAGCTAACAAGTGTGAATGTTCATAGGTTTGGTGCTGCTGTTCAGACGGGCATCTTTGAATCAGCTGTCCGGGAAATACTCCACCCCTTAGCTATAACAGCAGCCTGATATATGCCCATGAAATAGAGCTACCTAATCTACCGAGAAACAGTATTTCACCAACTATCCCCTAGAGGAGTCACTGGCAATAATGCATGGAGGACGATCTCACCAAACGAAGCAATATGACTGCATAGAACCATCATTTTAAACGTGTACATTTCAAGTTTGGTATTCGAGATAAGGAGTAATAGATTTTCTAATATCATTCTTCAAGATTCTATTTATTTACCGCTGTGCAGAGTGCATGATGCGAACTAGAAGTCAGCGCTCTGCGAGGCAACCTTGAGCCTCCAGTAGGCGCGTGGGATTCCATGCGAAACAAAAAGTGGTTTTCCAGCTATTCCAGCTATTACTGGGTACAGACGCTAAAACCAATAAAAAAACAATGAAACAAAACACAGTCTAAGTTCAAAACGTTACACATATCGAGAGCACCTCAGACCTGAACCCTTCAAAGACTGCGCCGCTGCCTCCAACCCTGTCAGATTTACGGCCATGCCTAGAAAGGTGATGCGTAAGTGGCATCAAAGAACAAAAGAGGTAGTCAGTTTATATCAGGGGAAAAAAGCTGCTCGCTGCCCCCAGCCCTGCCAGGTTAACGGGTATGCTTCTCCCTCAATCCAACTGGTGCTCGAGTCTCCAGGTCCCCTCTTAACATGTGATATTCATCTTGATGATGCCGCAATTGAGCAAGCTCTGCCACTGCCATCTAAGAACCACAGCGCAGATTCCGCATTTCTCCTAGATGGCCGTCTTGAGACGACAGGCTTCCCAGCCACAAGTGTGGTCTTGGGTTTCCAGTTCCGAGGCCGTCGCTGATCAGGCTTGCCTTTGTCCTCTTTCTTCTCTTTGTTTTTGTTCTTCCTGCGTGTTTGACGCCGCGCCTTTGAATCTTCTACATTGTGTTGCGCGCTTGTTCGTTGGCGTGAAACTCGACTAGTGCTTGTCGTCGGTGTAATCGTAGGTGTAGTCGTCGGTGTAATGGTGGGTGAGACGATTGGCACTTCTGCGACAATGGGGACTGGTGAATCCGGCAAAGTCGGTGGCTCTTGCAGAATAGAGACGTCAATGGGCGTGGAATTGAGTTGCGTATTAACAGTATTTGCCTCCTCACAAAAAGTTGTCATATCCCTCTCTATGAGCCGGGTAGAGAAGAAGATGTTTGACGCGACAAGAATTTGCGTCGCGCCTGAAGTATGGCAGAACCAAGAGGCCATAAGAGATCTGGACAAGACAAAACTCGACATCTGGGCCATAGCCTCCTCGTGGCTATGCGCATTTGCCAAACCAAATGATACAAAAATAGCAACAGAGAACGCTCATCGGTGGCTCTAGAATCAAGTGGATAGAATCTTCAAATCAAATCCTGATCTGGCGCCTTTTAGTAGTCTTTTGCGCAAAATGTTGGCTTGGGAGCCACAAGACCGCCCAATTGCTGCCGAAGCTCTTGCAAGCGACGCCTGGAACCTTGTCTGGGCGGAGAAGGAAAAGAAGAAGGGCAAGAAAGAGCAGAAGCGGAAGGCCAAAATGCAATTGGACGGGGTCAAGAGAGTTAGGGTGCTCTCACCTGGGGAAGAAGATTACAAGGTCTTTGAGTCGTAACTGTTTTATATCGTGACAAGCCCTCAACCCTTGAAGATGCTTAATTGTGTCAGGACCACGTAATTTGTTGGCTTGCCCCTTTCTCTAATCTATTATGGTATATTTTGAGCGATGCCTAGCGGTACGGGTGTGATTTGCACAGGTAAAATCTCCGTATACTAAAAATGAGGTATGGAACCTAGCCGTTCAAGAGAGGGGGGGAAAGTATTGGTAGGTAACGTAAAGTTGTTGTAAGTTCAGCCTTAACAATTTAAGGTGGATCATATTAAAGATATAGATGTAAGTCAAAGTGCAAAATAAAAGCAAGCAATGTGGGCGAGCCATAAGCTAACTCTCGTCCTGTGGATACAACGTCAATATGATCATTAAATAGAGATGGAACATAATGTATTAGGAAATGGTACTACTAAGAGTGCTTTTTCCTATGTAATAATAATATAACGATTCTCGCAATGTTTTACCAACAAAAACCACGTCTCACACTCACCAACTGAGAAAATATGGCAGTCTCATTTAGCTTCAACCTTTATGAAGCATTAACCTAAAGTGGTATACAGCAGCAAAAACAATAACCAACTCAAATGAAGGACATCATATCATCTTTTCACCATCTCTACTATCAATATCAATATTACAAAGCTAAATACAGCTGCAAAATTATACTACTCACTGATAAACATGGTGTCATATTCCTTCTACTTTCCTCTCAGGTAGGATCCCGTAGCATTGAATATGCTGACTAATCACCATTTCTGCCCATATTTTCATTCAACGCGTCTCACTCACTCTCGGCCGCGTCTAATTTCTATACTTCATTCCGGCGGGGCAGCCAAGCTCATCATGTATTCTATCGCCGTCACTGACAACTTCTTCAGCCTGTGACTGCGGTCATGTAGGGAGATGCTGCCTGTTATATATTTTTCCTCCTACCGACTCAGAGCAATTCCTCTCATAACGTAGCCATGGTCAGGTTCTCCGTACCAACCAAGGCCAGGCTGCCTTCTTCACTGCGCGTTGATTCCTCAAACCCAGCCGTCATAAAGAGCCTGGGCCGACTCTCCCGCGAAGCACTCATTTCCCTGGCCATCAGCTGGCTTGATGAATATACCATAGCCAACGCAGTGCCATACTTGGAACGAAGGGATGAAGAAGATGAAATTGATCCAGATGATATTTACCCCCCGTGTGGGTCGGTCCAGGAGCTGTACGAGCTTTATGTCGAGATGCAGCAGCAAAAGGGATCCAAGCGCGATGTGGCCAACCGCATACTGGAAGGCGATTGGAGACACGGACTGTCACTGTATCAGCTAGCCATGGTCGACTTTTACTATCTGGAAGAGCATCCAATGTCACAGAAATGGACGGCTTATAAAATACTCCCGCTGAAGCCCCCTACCAAAAATGCCGACGATGAAATCCTTCAAGTTGACGACAAGGCGTTGAATGTCCCTCGTTTCCACCCTTCAACGTTTCTTCAGAGCCTTCAGGACCAAGTCCTGCCGGATATCAAGGCTCACTACCAATTTTATCGACCAAAAGACCTCTCAGTCCTATTGCTGCGTATATTCGTCATTGAATCTCCATACAACAGTAGTATGGCCCTGTCTGGCGTTACCGGCAGTGGAGGTGCCACCAACTTCACTTCGTCGCGGACGGTATACCTAGCATTTCCGGATGGCTCTTCTCACATTTACATAACCAAATCTCAGGCCAACGGCCCGGCTCCCACAGGCGAATCGAAGAGTCTCCAGAATCTGATTATTCACGGCGTCCCAAAAGCATTGTCGAGGCCAAGAGAACGATATACCCTTAAGCCAACCAGCCTTACGAGCAGAAATCTGGAAACTCTCCTGGACAAAAGGGGACCAGGGCGGGGAAATGCAGCAGGAGGTGGTTGGAGCATATATGCCTCTGACAAGAACAAAAAGTCACCCCTCGATGCCATTCTTCCTAGCCCTCCGCTCTCCAGAGACTCCTCCCTTTCTGACCAGAACCGCAAGAGATTGAAACCGCTGAATTCGGATCAGCGATCTGCTAAACGAGCTAAGCTGGTTGCCCAAGCGCGGTTTGGTGATTCTGGCCTTGTAGCTGATGGGAAAGGGATTGAAAGGGTCGATGTTCTACTCAAAGATCCATTCCCCACACCTTCTGCCGTGGAGAATCAAGGATCAGAAGAAGATCAGGCAAACACCCCCAGCGAGACTTCAGTTTCAGCTCGGAGAAGGACGATAGATGCCGTGCTTCGTCAAGCTGCTGATGGCGATGACGAAGAATCGAACGAACCTGGAAATCCTTCACAGTGGCGCCCGACGGTGCAAATCACGTTTCAAGGAAATCATGTTTTTGCTGGTATCCGACAACTTGTTGAAGCCGGCATTGTGGATGGCGAGCGCATGCCCGGTTGGATGACAGGCGAAGATGGCGTTACCGTGGGTGTCGTAAAGCATGGGCGGATAAGGGGCAACAAGGGATCGGGGCTATGATGAGATGTCCGGCATTTTTCTTGGTTTTGGATATACTGTATACTGTTCTTTCTATGCGCTTGATACCCTTACGATGAACCCTAACGACTCTAATTTGCCTCGCCGAGGCCAAACACGCTCACGGTGTTTCTCCATGATGCTTCGCAAAGTTCTTCTACGCTCACGCCCTTGACGGCAGCGACGATTTTGGCAACCCGCTCGATAGTGCATGGTTCGTTGCGGCCTTTGATCATGGCCCCCTGCTCCCACTTCTCCTTTTTCACTACCTTGAACCGGTCTGGCACATCAGGCTCCTTCTTTTGGTTCTTCTGCTTCTTCGGCCGCTTTGTCTGCTGCTGTGCGGCTGCATCAGTCGGTTGAGGCTCACCATTCGTCACTGGCTGCTCAGGTTCGGGCTTCTTCTCTATCAAGTACTGATATCCAGCATGGCTGGGTCGTACTTCGCACCAAGGACCGTCTGTTTCCAGCATGATCCTGTCGAGGGTAATCTCCTTCACCATGGTAAGGTTCTCTTCCGTTTTGAGACTGCAACCATTGACACCAATATGCAGGCCTAGATCCATCAGCTCCTTCATCTCCTCTATGGTGCCCGTGAAGCTGTGTACTACGCCGCCCTTCTCTAATCTCTCGAGCTTGTCGCCGAAAGCCCCTTTCAACAGGTCGACAAAGTCGCGATGGGCGGCTCTAGAATGAAGAAACAGTGGTAGCTGGGGCTGAAGAGAGGCGGCGATCTTGAGTTGAGCTTCAAAGGAATGCAACTGGGCGGCCTTGCTGCAAAAGTTCAGCCGGTCGTAATCAAGCCCAAATTCTCCTAGGGCGACTAGATGATGCTTGCTAGAGGCCGTAGCATCGGCAAGCAGGGTCTCGAATTCGGCAATCACTTTTGCAGATGTTTCTGAGTCGGGTTCACCTCGATGTTTTGTTGATTCCGGGTCCTCGGGCTCACAAGGAGCCACATGTTCTTCATGTCTACCATGACCTCCTTTGCAGAATATGGCACTGCTACATGGGTGGATGCCGGCGGTACCAAAACATGTCCCAGCTACATGTACTGGTTCAGTATGTGATGGTCTTCATGGGAGAAGGGCTTACCGACGGAATTCTTTTGCCAGCTCCAAGGCATCACGAGCGCTCGTAAAATCAGAGCCCGTCACAATGAGCTTAGTGCAGCCCACCTCCTTGGCTCTGCTGATGACATCCTTGAGATCATCTGGGTGGCGCTGAGTGCCGTGATGTTTGCCCCTGAAGATGGGATCGGCTAGGTTGATTCCTATCTTCACGAGCTACTCATCAGCAATCCGAGAGATTTATATCGTGAAAATAAGACCATTGGGGTTAAAATACATCGATATATCTGGGTTTATAGGCCTCTGATGCCGGTTCAGAGTTGGGCTGCGGGGCACTCATTGTGGAAAACACTGAGAAACGAGAGATGGCAGCAGTGTAGTGGCGTGGCAGATGATGACGGACTCTCCCCAGAATCCTAGACATATATACAAAATACCCGTGTATAGAAAGCAGTATCAACTTCCTACCGCAGATGTAGGCATCTAGTAGTCATGGCACTGGCAAAATGGCATCTCGAAAGCTGCTTAGTAATTTCAAAAAGACATTTAAACCACCACTTAAACGCACGTGACCCCGCGACAGCTCCGAGAAACTCGATGACCAAGACACGCGCCCGGGATTCGCGTATCCACCAAAACAGAGGATGCTTAGCTACAATTCACGGATGGATGATTAATTAATTGCTCCCAGAAGCTTAGCATTTGTTGTGAGCCCGATCAGGCTTAAGGAGGACGAATGAGGCAGTGATTGTTGGGTCTCTCGGCGCCGCTCTCGCCCTTGACTGGCCACTTCACTGGAATGGTGCTTGCCGCGGGGCATCTTTTTTTTTTAATGAGTTTCACAGCGTGCCACCAGTATTTTTCACGCTAACCGCTGGTGTGGCGCGTGCTGGAGACGCGCCTCAGAATAAAACCGTCCCTCGCCGTCTGGAGGGCACACTTTACTCTTCTCTTCCCAAAACAAAGCAAACGCATCTCAAGGCCTCGATTCATCTCGAACGCCCTCAAAGCTCTGTCCGACTGCCTGAGTGTCTTGACTGATACTTGCAAGCGTCTGAGAGCCTTGAACCATCACCTACGTCATTCTTTTGTCCAATATATCTCCCCGCCGTCTTCTCTTTTCCGCCATCCCACGCCGCCACCATGTATGTGAGGAAGCGTGGTATGTATCCCACTGTTGATTTAGATTAAGCCTTTTCAATATTTCTAATCCATGGATAGACGGTCGTCAGGAGCGTGTTCAGTTCGACAAGATCACGGCTCGTGTCTCTCGGCTGTGTTACGGCCTGGACACTGACCATGTCGACCCTGTAGCCATTACCCAGAAGGTCATTTCTGGTGTCTATGGAGGTGTCACGACAGTGCAGCTTGACGATCTTGTAAGTCAGCTATCTCTAGTAATGCCAATCCGCAGCCGTTAACGTGTAGACCAGGCTGCCGAGACTGCCGCGTACATGACCGTTACCCATCCCGACTATGCCATCCTTGCCGCCCGCATCGCCGTCTCCAACCTCCACAAACAAACCAAGAAGCAGTGGTCAGCTGTTGTCAGTGACCTGTACCACTATGTAAACCCAAAGAACAACAGGGCCTCGCCCATGATCTCCAAAGACACATATGAGTGTGTCATGCGGCACAAGGAGGAGCTCGACTCCGCCATTGTCTACGATCGAGACTTCAACTACCAATACTTCGGCTTCAAGACTTTGGAGCGATCATACCTCCTGAAGCTTGATGGCAAGATTGTTGAGCGACCACAGCACATGATCATGCGAGTGTCTGTTGGTATCTGGGGAGATGACATTGAGCGTGTCCTGGAGACATACAACCTCATGTCTAGCAAGTTCTTCACCCATGCCTCCCCCACCCTGTTCAACGCCGGTACCCCGCAGGCCCAGCTGTCCTCATGCTTCTTGGTCGACATGAAGGATGACAGCATCGAGGGTATCTATGACACTCTGAAGACGTGTGCCATGATTTCCAAGATGGCTGGTGGTATCGGCTTGAACGTCCACCGCATCCGTGCCACCGGCTCTTACATTGCTGGCACCAACGGTACCTCTAACGGTATTATTCCCATGCTTCGAGTGTTCAACAACACTGCCAGATATGTCGATCAGGGTGGTAACAAGCGTCCTGGTGCCTTTGCCATCTACCTCGAGCCCTGGCACGCCGACGTCTTTGAGTTCCTTGATCTCCGCAAGAACCACGGCAAGGAAGAGGTCCGCGCTCGTGACTTGTTCCTTGCTCTCTGGATTCCCGATCTCTTCATGAAGCGTGTTGAGAAGAACTTGGACTGGACGCTCATGTGCCCCAACGAATGCCCTGGCCTTGCTGACTGCTATGGCGAGGAGTTCGAGGCTTTGTATGAGAAGTACGAGAAGGAGGGACGTGGCCGCAAGACCATTCGCGCTCAGAAGCTGTGGTATTCCATCTTGGAGGCCCAGACCGAGACTGGTAACCCCTTCATGCTCTACAAGGATGCCTGCAACCGCAAGAGCAACCAGAAGAACCTGGGAACCATCCGCAGCTCCAACCTCTGCACCGAGATCATCGAGTACTGTGCCCCAGACGAGGTTGCTGTTTGCAACCTGGCCTCTTTGGCCCTCCCTGCTTATGTCGACTACAACGAAGGCTGCTACGACTTTAAGAAGCTCCATGAAGTTACTAAGGTGGTTGTCCGCAACCTTAACAAGATCATTGATGTCAACCACTACCCTGTCCAGGAGGCCCGCAACAGCAACATGCGCCACCGACCCATTGGTGTTGGTGTCCAGGGTCTTGCCGACGCTTTCCTTGCTCTGCGCATGCCCTTTGAGTCTCCCGAGGCTCGTGAGCTGAACAAGCAGATCTTTGAGACAATCTACCACGCGGCCCTAGAGGCTTCTATGGAGATCGCCAAGGTGGAGGGTCCCTATGAATCATTCAAGGGATCACCTGCATCCGAGGGCATCCTCCAATTCGACATGTGGGATGTCAAGCCCTCTGACCTGTGGGAGTGGGACTCACTCAAGGAGCAGATCAAGGAGCACGGTACGCGCAACAGCTTGCTCCTCGCCCCTATGCCAACTGCCAGTACGTCCCAGATTCTGGGCAACAACGAGTGCTTCGAGCCCTACACCTCCAACATCTACCAGCGACGTGTCCTTGCCGGCGAGTTCCAGGTTGTCAACCCCTGGCTTCTCAAGGACCTGGTCGACACCGGCCTCTGGTCCGATGCCATGAAGAACCGTATCATTGCTGAGAACGGCTCCATTCAGAACATCCCCAACATCCCCGAAGATATCAAGGCCCTTTACAAGACCGTCTGGGAGATTTCTCAGCGCCAAATTGTCCAGATGGCGGCTGATCGTGGTGCTTTCATTGATCAGTCCCAGTCCCTGAACATCCACATGAAGGACCCCACAATGGGCAAGATTACCAGCATGCACTTCACTGGCTGGAAGCTTGGTCTCAAGACCGGCATGTACTACCTGCGTACTCAGGCCGCGGCTGCTCCTATTCAATTCACCGTTGATCAGGAGGCTCTTAAGATTGCTGATACCACCATCAGCAAAGACCGTGTTCTGAAGAAGCGCGCGCCTCCTCCAGGATCTTCTTACATGATGTCCTCGCCATCTGCCGTCCCTCGCCCTGCCAGTGCGAAGAGGGAAGGAGACTCTGGCAACTCGCTGAGCTCCAACGGTGTTCCTACACCCACTACCACTCCTCCCCCCGCCGTGAGCAGGCCTCTGGCGTCTCCTCACAAGGCTCCTCCTATGAAGGCCGATGTTGACGAAGGAGATAGCCCCAAGGTTCTTCCCACTGAGCCCTTGGACGCTGTCAATGATGAGGAGCTGAGCAAGAAGCCCAACCAGTCTGAGGACAAGGACGAGGATAATGAGGAGCGCGAAAGAGACATTTACTCGGACGCTGTTCTAGCCTGTAAGTTACACTGACTCTTATCAAGACAAACTAAAATTGACATGGTACTGACTCCTCTTCTAGGCAGCATTGAAAACCCCGAGTCCTGTGTTATGTGCAGTGGCTAGAGGAGTTTCAGGCAGATGAATGTCGGCGACGACTGGTGAGATCGATACGACGGAAGAGTTTTTATAAAGCATAAAAATAAACAGGCAACGGAAATGAGGATTTTTATAAATGATTTAGGGTTTATTCATGATGGGCGTCGGGTCAAAGGATCTGACTGTCCGACACTGGTTTAATGCGTTTGGACTATGTATATTTTTTGTTACGTTTACTACATGTCGTTTACATGAGTATGAAGGTTGCGTGCGTTTAGTTGCAGCTGTCAATGGCATAGATGCGCGAATATCAAGATGAAATAATGATATATTCTCGTTGAAGTTGTGGTTACGCGAAGTTTGAACTTGTTGGTCATGTTAGTAGGACGTAACATGTCATACTTGACTAACAGAAGAAGGATGATGCTGCGAATGTCTCCTATAGCTAATTGGCACATGGTCAGATCTGGGATATATTTGAAAAAAAAAAAATTGGTATGTTCTATTGTCTAGACAATGTTTCTCTTGAAATATATACACATACGGTTAATCAAACTTTACTGTCTAAACTGATGCCGCTCGTTGATCTTACCCTCAGATGGCTTCGTTTGTCGAACCAAAACTCTGGATGAGTTATTGTCAGGAGAACCGACATGATGATCATGGGAATGGAATCCAAGGCAATAAAGATGCCTTCTTTGTCTGATAGAGGGCCGTTGAAACCTCCATTTAGTTCGGCCACACGCCAGCAAGAGCGAATGAAAAGACAGATGGCAGCTGTTGCTACGCCTGTTGTAGAAACAAAGAGTGTTAGACTAAAGTGTGAGTAGATGGAGAGGGGAATACTTACAATATATGTAGCTGATCTTATTGTCTTTAGCAAGATGATAATGTATCTTTCTGCACACCAATGCAAGCAGAATGCAGAATATGGTTGTAAACAGAACTTGAGTGGCCAGCCCTGCAATCATAAGATCGACTCCAATCGGATTCTCAGCGTAGATTGCCGCGAGCGAGCCTCCGCATCCAATGAAGCAAAGACAGATGAAATCCCCTAGAATAAACATGGTAGCGAAGAGCTTGGGGCTGAGATGCGAAAACCGGGCTGCTTCGTAGTGTCTTTGCAGGGCGCTGATGCCAAGATATAGCGACGAGGAGAGGAATGTAGGGCCTAGAGTGAGGCCGATGATGTACCTATAGTAGCAAACACCCGGACTATATTAGCAAAGGGAAGATAGGAAATGGGGAGAGTTTTGGGAGATGTTACATGATGTATCCGTTCTTGTCTGCTCGGTTGTGAGAGAGTTGGACCTTGGCGATGTAGCCCACGAGCTCGAGGATGAGGCCGCCCAGCATGCCGATTGCGTAGCCATAGTAGCGCCAGAAGCGAACGGTAAGGACGAGTTGTATGATGAGGAGGATTGTATATACGGTGGTGAATATAGCATTTGGTGCAAGCATCGGCGTGAAAGTCAGAGCGCCGATGCCGTTTGGAGGGATGTGGCTGGTTCCATTTGTTGTAGAGTTCATGTCTAATGGTCTAAACAACGTAATTCAAGGAGTGAAATTGAAAAAGAAAAACAAAGGAAACCAACTGAAACTAAGAATAATGAAAATGAATAGACAATTTTCACAAGAAACCTCGTTTTGTTTTATGCTGCTCGAAGGCACTTATAGGACACCTTCCACGCACACCCTCCCGCAAAACCGCCGCCAAATCTCCGTCATATCGCCGCTCAATTCCCGCTAGTCGCCGTCAAAGTCTCAACCCCCATCCTATTTCAACGGCAGCTTGTGTCCTTTTCTTCCAACAAATTCACTGAATCTCCGTCCCTCAGCTGAAGAGCGTTCTTACTCCGAGCCACCATCCCGCGGAGATTTAATTCCCCCGAAATGCGGCTGAAGCGTGGAGTCGAGCGGGCGTCCTGCGACTTCTGCCATCGGCGCAAGATCAAGTGCGATCGGCCTTTGCGAGAATCACAGGGTCATGATTCTTGCTCGCCGTGTTCTTTGAGAGGGATTCAGTGCCTTCTTGATGATTCAGATGATGTTCGTCTTCGTAGACGGCGAAGAGTGGTTGTTCGCGATGAGGAGCGCGTAGAGCAGAGCCCATCGCTGGTAGCGACAACTCCTGCTGATACAATTGTCCAAAACTTCAATCATCAAAGCACCAATGCTATCGCGGTCAATAAAGAAGGGGCACCAGTGCCATCACAGGGTCTAGACCAGTCTTTACCCTCTTATTTTTCGTCAAATTTTGATGATGGTATCTCATCGTCACTGGATCAGTCGCCAGACTTTTCATTCATCGACACTCCCTTCGAACTCAGCCCGGAAAGCATCTTATTTCTCGACCAAATCTTCTTGGGTGGTTTCGAAACCCCATTGGAATACCTTCAACCGCAAATTTTGACGGATATCGATATCCAATCTTCTATGGCCGCGGATCTTGCTATTCAGAACAGTGCAAGTGAGTCTCTTAGGGAAGCTTCAGCATTCGGTACTTCTCAAAAGCCTTGGCTCGATTGTGGTCTTGATGAGGCGGCGTTTTATTCAGCATTACACGCTTACTTTGATTTCGCTGCTGTTCATCTTCCGGTTCTTATAGAAGATGCCTTCTGGCAAGACTACCGCGCTGGGAGGTGTAGCCTTGCCCTCGTTTATGCCATTGCCTGTCGAGGAATATCTTTCTCAAGTACTTTGGAGAGCTGGAACGAGCAGCAGCGCTTAGCCCTGAAATTCAGAGAGAAGTTCTTGGAAGCCCAGCAGAATGCAACTAGCAAGTCAGTCATCCGTCTTGACGATCTTGAAGCACTCGCCATCATGGTCAACTGGACATATGACGAAACACAAAGCTTGTCCCTGCACTCGCAATTGGGAAGGCTTTTTCTGACGCATGAAGCTCTCGTCTTGGCCACTCTCCAATATCAGATGCAAGATTGTGGTGAAGCAGAGCACTCAGGTCCGACAGTATCGCTTGCGCGTGCAGAAGAGCGCCGCAAACTCCTTTTTTGGCACGTGTATGGCCTCGATGCTTTCCATAGCTTGGACCAGAAGACTATGTCACGAATTCCAGACGGCAAAAACAGCGAAGTCTCATCAAAGTTGCCCCGGATTGACTCTGGGAGCTATCTCGATGCTGTTCTTAGTCTGGCCATTGTTGCGAGGGAGATTTTGCAAGCTTTGGTGACGGTCAGCACAAAACGAAATGGCGTTAAATGTACCGACTTGATGAATATCTATGACAAGCTCATTCATTGGCAGAAACACGTCTGTCCTTCTCATCTTCGCAGAAAGAGGGATGCTGATGGCAGACTGGTACCATTGACCATAAACGAGTCAAGTAAGACTAAGTTTCTTCAACCATTGCACTGCTCTATCCTTTGGCTTCTGGAAATCAACTGTTACATGCAGATTGAAGATTGCCTCTCGCAGTATGGCGTGCAAAATGGAGCTCCTTTGGAGGGCGAGATGATGGCTCTCCGAGTGGAATTCGAGGCCCTTCGTGCCGTGCATGACGGAGTGGAGATATCTCGATGGATGAGGCAATATTCAGCTTCAACGACGCGTGGTGGCATCACACTGAGCCATTCTCTAATCGATCTTGCACCATCAATTGCACGCGACATTTGTGCCGGCTTATGCTATTGGACATGTGAGCGTGGCAAGAGAGTGTTCCGTCATGGTTCCTCAGGTCTCACCAATATTCGCCCCAGAAATCGGCAACAAGAAGGAAAAAGCGAAAAAGACCAAAGGAAGCAAGATGTCAACGACTACAGAGAAGGTGCCAAGGAATTTCGCAGTGCCGTGGCAACGGCAACATCACACAGAGATACAAAATATGTTCTGGAGCGGCTGGACAAGCAGATTGCCTCGTTTGAGCAAGCCGTGGCACAGTAGTTCTCGGATCGGACCTGGGAGGTGCCGACGAGATGCTTGAAATCCAGCCTTTGCAGAAAACAACAGCAAGGATATCGCCGTTCCACAGCAGACAGCCTTGGAGAATTTTGGCCCGCAGGATTTAATCCTAGGTGTTCAATGAAAGACCAGCATTGATACATGTGCATCAGACATGACGTAGAGTTAGCTGTCTAACTGAGTCAATGACAACAGAGGCCAGCGACCGGCCGACATGATGAGGTCAGTCGCATAATGGGCTACGATTCATGAGGCCAAACAAAAACAAGAACAAGAGGCCCGAGCACGAGGCTTGTGCACCTTGCCGTCTGGTCTGAAATTTCCTCCAGTCCTTTTTCATAGCAGCAGGAAGTCACTTGGCAAAACGCGTGGCTTCGAGCCACACAACCAGAGTCTCAAACATAACATGGACATTGGCGAATCATTGGGACGTCAGCTGGGGTTACTCCAGTCGGCCGATCTTGATTGCCCAGCTCGATGATGTTGAAGCGGGGGCTGGTTAGCTGGTTAGCCTGCTGTTGTGAGTGGAGGCTGTCGGCAGGTTTGTATTGGACAAGATGAAGTTCAACTGAGACATGGACACTCGTCCGTGGAGTGCGGAAGTAATTCCAATTGCACTTGATACGTGTGGACCCTGTTGGGGGAGCCGGACAGTTGACTCGAAAGCCAAAAAATGCCAGGACATCATATTCCCGAAATGCATACTGATACTCTGTCCTGAGCAAGGAAACGTGGGACCAAAAGACGAAAAGACGTAGCTTGGCGGGATGTGGCGAGAATGATGGAGGGCATCCATCAGATCCTTCGATCTATCCAGCCACCTTCGACGACGCCACTTTCGTTGTCCCCTGGAGATCGGCTTCAGCGCCTTGTTAGCGCAGTTCGGGAGGCGGCGAGGGAGCTCAAGTGCAAGCGCTAGAGTACAAAGAGATTAGATTAGTGCCTAACAGTGGTGACAATTCGGTCCAGGTCTTGCTTGATGCTGAGCTGCCGGTGAAGCTCCCATGAAGAGCTGAAAGTGGCCCCATCTCTGGGTATCAATGGTTATGTACGAGTACGGATAGCTCTCTAGTTAATCTACTCAGCTCTGCCGGGGTCTGTAAATGCTGCAAGTGGGGGTTCTGTCAAAGCTATCCAGCAAGCAGCTGCTAAAGCCTCCATCAGGACGCTCAAGTCACTCTACGCAGCTCTTTGACGTAAACCACAAAGCCGTGCTGCTTTGACTTTGCAGCCAGCAATGCAAGGGACTAGAACGCTAGGCGATGCAACGCGGATACCAACAGCTCCAGTTCCGACTCAACAAAGTGCGCTGGCTGTTCATCCAATCTGCCGCCACCGCTCCCAAACCAAATCCAACCAAGCGTTGTCTTACTCTACAACTTCCCTAGAGTCAAGTGCTCGTATCACCCGAAATGTAGCCTCTATACGGTCAATACTTTGCGATATACTCGTAGCGCCCAGTTGCAGTTGGTACCACGATCGTGCATCTGTAATTTCAGAAGGAGGGCGTCACACAGACCTCGTCACTCCACCCACCCCCTGCCATCAAGATCGTAGCTTCTCTTTTGTTGTTAATGACGTTGATCAACCAGATCTGCCAGCTGGCGTGGTGGCCAGAGCGTCAGTTGCTGGCAAGCACTACATGCAAGGTACATTGCGGAGAGGTGGCAGTGCAGTGTAAGGGGAGGTACCCCCAGAGGGACGGCTGTTGCTACTTCCTCACTTCATAAACGCTCCAGGCCCTCCTCCTCTTGCCCAGTGCCTGCCAGGTGACCGCAACTCTTTCTTCTCTTTCTTTCTCCAAGATTCTCCCTCTTCACCTCTTGTCCTCTCGGAGCTCTCAAAACTTCTCCTCGTTCATCACCACCGTTCTCAAGCACAAAATAAGCGTCAAGCTCTTCTGGTCGCCTCGCCATCGCCAATCGTTGTTTGCGTCGTCTCTCGTTGCATTTCTGTATCTCCCAGGTTGGTCCACCTCGCCTACTTCTTCCCTCGCTCCAAACATTGTCTGCGTATTCTTCCTCTTCCCGTCTTCCTCGCAAATCTCTCCAAGTTCCCGAGCATCTACAACAACAGATGACTCGACTGCTTGTTCTGAGGGAACACCATAATCTCTTCACAGTCCACCTTCTATCCGCTCATCTCCTCGACCGCGTCGTACAGCCCCCTTGTACGGCCTAGCACAAACATTGGTCGTGGTATTCTGATCACCAGAAGCTCGTACCTTCCCCTCTGCAGTCACTACCCCCTCTCTGGTTAAAAAAACTACTCTTGGCCCTTCATAGCCTGCCACTTTCCAACTCCTCGATATCATCTCGCTTTTGATCTTCACATCCTTGAGTCATCACCTGCTCTGTTCACTCGACGAATTCCATCATTTCAGACCTTCTTTGTGCTGATAGTGATATCTTATCAATAGAACTCAAGTCGACTTTTTTGACAACATCACCGCCAAGATGAAGTCCGTCGTTATCGCCCTTTGCACCCTGGTCGCGGTTACTGCCGCCCAAGGCTCTGCCAACCTTGCGGCCTGCGGCGTAAGTTTTTGTTGCCATGATTTCTGCCTCCCAGGCTGTTACTGACAGTTCACTGTAGCAAACTTGCGCCACCAACATGTTGAGCGCCGACAAGGCTGAGGAGCTGGGTTGCAAACAGAATGACTTGAGGTGTCTCTGTGCCAACAAGAACTTCCTTTACGGCCTCCGAGACTGCTCCGCGGCTATTTGCCCGGCTGAGGATGCCAGAAAGGTTGTTGACTATGGTATCAGTATCTGTGCCGGTGAGTCCTCTCTTCTCAATTACGCCTTGAAGCTTTCTCTCACATATTTGCAGGAGCTGGTGTTGCGATCCAAACAAGTTCTGGAGGTGGCAATGGTGGTGCTAGTCACACTGGAAGTGCTTCTGGAAGTGCCACTGGCAGTGCTACTGACGGCGAGTCGACGGCTGCCACTGCTTCTGCTTCCAACTCTGCCACTGTGAGTTCTCGTCTCTTGTTGCTCCTATAATCTTCATTTGCTTACTCTTATCACTAGGGAACTGCGGGAAGCAGCACAGGTAGTGATCAAGCGTCCGGCAAAGTGTCCACCATCTTCACCACTTTCACCTCGGACGGCGAAACCGTTACTGCTGGCATTCCCACTACAATCTCCAGCAATCTTGGCAACGGAGGAATCAGTGTTTCTACTTTCACCGCGACTGTTACCGGATCCGATGGCAGCGCTCACCTGACGACTAGTCAGACCACTTTGACTGTCGGATCTGGTTCGGTCACTGTTACTGCTTCCGAAGCTACTGCCACTGGTAGTGCCATCCTTACGACTGTGACTTCTGGTAGTTCTACCATCGTCAAGACTCTGACCACGGTTCACCGAAGCACCGAGTCTGACACCGCTTCTGTCACTGAATCTACCACACAGGCTGAATCCAGCTCCGATTCCAGCAGCGAACCCACCGAGACTGAGACGAGCAGCAGTTCAAGTGCTTCCAGCACATCCACCAGCACAGCTGCCGGTGTAAGTTTTCACTTTTGAATTGCCGTATAGTTGTTCTCTTTTGACTGATTCGATTGCAGGCTCCCCAGAAGACTGCTGGCCCTGTCGGCATCATTGCTGCCGCTGGCCTCGCCATCCTCATGCTCTAAAATTTCTCCCGATGAGCTTTTTTTTGATGTTTCGCGTTGCACATGTTTGATATATAATACCCTGTTATTGTCTCATAATCCTCGACTTACTAAACATCTTTCGCGCTCGGCGTGGAAATTTGGCACCGAGTCTATCTTTCATGACAAAGGAAATAGGAACAAGGTGAATGAACATGAACTGGGAAAGTTTTATGAGGGTTAATGAGTTATGTGGTTTATCATTTTCTTTTTAATTGGGCCATGAGAAGTGCACAAAGGATTTGGTGATTAATTTTTGGTCATGTGCCAGTAGGAGGCAGAGTGCAAAAACGAGGATCAGACACACGGCGGATGTACTTCAGTTCACATCTTCCCGTCTTACGAGAGAGTTCCAAGACTGCCGTGTACTTGGCATGATGAATACCTATCTCTGGTATAGGCTGGGGGCACGGGGCTGAGTCTCTCGCCACAGTTTGACAGGAGAATAATAAATAATTTTGGTGCACCATACAATCTTTTTCATATGCCACACTGTCTTAAAAATGATGCTCATAAAATTGATGCTTCTATTGCCAACTCGGGGGAATGTTTCATGTGAGAGTCAAGGCTGCTCCGAGGCCAAACAAGGGGATTCGATGAACTACGAGATGATGAGTTGGTCATGCAACGGTTACGATAAATGCACACTAGGTGTTTAAAGAATACACATATATTCTAATGCTATCAAAAATCTATACTGTGATATGCCCATCAGGTATTTTTGGCTGCAGAAAGATGCAGCCCCAGATCCACCCAAAACGCCAGAGTGCGCGAAAGAAAAGAATTCATGATGCAAAACTCATAGCCAGCAAGAGTGGCCATCGAGCTCCAGGTGCCTGTTTTAGTACACACGGTCGCCAATCTTGCTCCTCCAGTTCTTGGCGCGCTCGAAACCATTTTCGTGGCTCTGGAAGTCGGAAAAGGTCTTCATGACCTCTTCCTCAGAGTTGAGGACAAAGGGGCCATATTGCACGACGGGCTGGTCGAGAGGAGTGCCAGCGATGACGACTAGGGGAGAAAGTTTGTTAGTAAAATTATGAAGAAAACGGCTTGCAGAAAGCGGTGAAACTTACAGACTCGGGCCTCCTTTGTGGCGCTTGCTTCAGTTGACAGGTGAATTACATCGCCTTCCTGCTCGAAGAAGACGTTGTCGTACTGCTCCGCCTTCTTAGCCTGGGCTCCCTCGCCAACGACGACGTTGCCGTCGAGAATGTAGGCGAAGGCGTTCCACCCCTTGGGGAGGGCCTGGGTGACCTTTGCGCCGGGCCTTAGAAGGAAGTCGAGCAGCCAGACGGGGGTGTAGGCGAGCTCCTTGACGGAGTCGACGCCGTGGCTCTGGCCGGAGATGACCTTGATGGTGGCGCGGCCGTCGTCGACGGTGACGGAGGGGATCTCGGCGGCGCGGAGGTCGCGGTAGCGGGGCTCGCAGTACTTGAGCTCCTTGGGGAGGTCGACCCAGAGCTGGAGGCCGACGTTGGGCCTGCCGTCGTCGTGCTTGCGGGGCATCTCGGCGTGGATGATGCCGCGGCCGGCGGTCATGAACTGGAGGTCGCCGGAGTAGAGGGTGCCGGCGTTGCCTGCGAAGTCTTCGTGGTCGACGACTCCGTCGAGGAGATATGTGATTGTCTCTTGACCACGGTGAGGGCTGATTCAAAGTAACTCGGTCAGTCTCTGATTTGCCAAAGGTGAGGAACAGGAACAGGAAGAAGCTTACTGGTCAGGGAAACCGGCAGTTGTAGAAAAGTGATCGAGCATGAGGAAGGGGCTGAAGTTGCGCTGCGATCGCGTGCCAATTGACCGTCTAACTCGCGCTCCGGCGCCCTCAGCCTGTTCGATGGCACGAACGACCTTTGCGATGGCTCGTTGAGCAGACATTTCGGTGACTATGAGGTGTTGTTCGGGATTGCCCAAGTTTGGAAAGCTGCTGTCTTTCTTTGCTGCTTCAGAAGATGCTGCTGTTTTGTTCAATGCTGTTTTGCTGATAAAGTCGCTGTAGTGGTTCGAAAGAGAAGCTATCGCAAGTGTCGCAAAATCGGCTATGCTTTCGCGGTACTGGTATAAGACTGTAGATGACAATCCAATGAGAATTGCAAGGATGATCTGAAAGAGCTTCATGTGAAAGGGAATTGAAGAATCGGTGGCTTTATATAACTTGAAAGCGCTAGACCGAGGGGGCAGCCGCGATATAAAGAGAAATTTCTGGGCGCCATTATCAAGGGATTATATCATCACCAGTGGTGTCCTTCAGAAGCTTCCGGACTGGTAGAGCTTCGCCTTTGCGGCTGTCTAATGCGGAGCGGCGAGTTAGCAAAGCTGGGGTCCACAATTAGTCACTTTTACATCAGCACCCTGCGAAGCAATTCCGGCCCCCACCTTTGTTCAGGATGCGTAAATGTTTAGCATCTCTTACTCAGCACCCTTTTCGCTTTCTTTTTTCTGCTCGAGATTTCTACAGTGCAGCTACAGAGTTTAAGAGTACCAGGCGTCATCACATGATCAAAGATGGAAAGCGGACAGTGTCAGACAGTGTCGAGATTTTTATTAGCATTGAAAGCAAACTCCCATTGGTATTCTACCCTTTTTACGTCCTTCCATATAATTGCCCATACATCAAAACAAAGAAGAGTTAAGTGTCCCGTGTTGAAAGCCCTCTCGTCGTCAAAGTAGGCCCGTCACTTGCCGTGCTGCCGATGCAGATTCTCTCACACCTCCCCATCAATACTCATGATTCGCACTTCTCGAGCAACGTGATGAGCGTTGAAACTGCGGGTGTTGGAGCCATAGTCCGTCGAAACAAGGAATGAAAGAGAAATGGAATCGAAACGAGATGCGTCAGAGCTTGGCCACCAGCTAGTAGTGGCGATCATGATGCCAGATGTAGACGCCTAGTCGCAGCGGACGAAGCAGCCTACCCTTCTTCCCCCTTTTCTCTAGGTGCTTTTCATCCCAATAGCGAACTGGCATCAAAAAAGCAAATGAGATCCAGTGACAGAGGAAGTCGACACGATGCCGACCCAAACAAAAGGGTAAGAAGAGAAAGACAAAGAAGAGAGAGAGGGCCGGTCAAAAAAGGAAATGATGCGCTGTTTCGCTTGTAATCCACTCCGGAAATCGTCTACTGGTTGATCTTCTCCTTGGTAGCCTCAGAAGCGTCGCCCTTCTTGACAGCAACCCAGCTGCTCAGCCAGGCCAGCGTTTCGTTGCTAATGACAAAGGCGGTGGAAACGGCAGCCTTGCCCTGGGCTACGACGCCCTCCTGCTCAAGCTTCTTAAGCTCGGAAGCATAGATCTTGAAAACGTGCTCCTTGCCCTCGAGTCCCTTCTGGTAGGGGAACAGAATCAGACCACGGGTCTCGTTGTAGAGATCACCAGTGGGCTTCTTGACAATGGGGAAGCGCTCGTCAATGCGGTCCAGGGTCTTGTCGCCAAAGGAGTCGGCCCTTTGGACGTAGGGAGAGACGATACCATAGGGCTTGGAAAAGTAGGGAAGAACAGGGGCGGCAAAAGTCTTATAGGCAGATTCGCCCAGCTTGATAGGCCGCTGTGCGTATTCGTTGGTGGTCACAGTGTGAATGCCGTCGCTAACCAAGGGATAGGAGAACAGGTGCTGCCAAAATGATCAATAACCGGACCAAAAGCCATCACAATTCGATTCGATTCGCGTTTGCCATTGTGCGATGACAAAGCGATTCATTTTTTTAATCCATGCATACCTGGAGGAAGGCGGAATTGACATGGCTGGTGACCTCGCCGTTAACCTGAGGAGCAGGCATTGTGATGTGTGGTGGTGTAAGTGGTGGGTGAGAATTGAAGATGGAAAACGCAGGACAAGGTCGTCGTCGGTCGATATGCGATGATGTACAGCTGCTTGACTGACACGGAGTAGGTTATTGAGGATTGGGAATTGGAGAGGAGATGAGAGAAGAATGAGAGATGAAAAGAAGAAAGTGAGAGTCGAGCAGGAGGGATGCAGGACGGCGATAAGGACGGGGTGGATGCCTATTAATGAGCATTCCCCAGTCCCCCAAGGGTGCCGGTTTGGCACGCCACCTGGGATGATGTATTGATAACGCGCACAGCTCAAGGGCTCAAGGCGCCCTCCCGCGAACGGAACATGACAACGAGAGAAAAAGGCATGTGAAAGCGGCGAAACAGCTTGTCAATCGCTCCCTGGAAACGTGTGAGGCTTGCAGCTTGGAGCCGAGCCGCGATTGGCCACAGCTCGGCCTCAGCCACACCTCGCAAGCAGGGATCCCTCCTGTGCGTCTCACTTGGCCGACATGTGAAAGCAACCTTGGAACCTTTCGCCTGCTGTTCTGAGCCAACCGCAGCAGCACGACCGGTTTCAAAAAAGTTAGTTTTGCTGGCCATTGCCTTTTTCTTTTTTCCTGCTTGGACTGTTGATTAGCGGCACATCCGGGTAAACGCTCCCGTGCCTCTAGTTGGACAAGGCTTCAATTCTCCAATCATTCAACCCAATCGACGCCCTCGGCGATTTCGCAATCTACAAGCGCATGCCTTAGCAGGTTGGTAGCACCCCCCGGATGCTGGATGCTGCATCTGTTGCCATACCATTACCAGGAATCTCTTGGCAGTATTTGATACGGAGCAACGACTAATCACCTCAAACGGTCCCGGGCTGGCAGATAAACCCGCATCGCCTGGCAGCATGGGATTTCGCAGGATTGGAACGAGGGGGGAGGGGGAATGGCATGGCATCCAGAGCGAGATATCCGGGATTGCGACATTGGACCCTTTGTTGCGGTGTGCGAGCGCTATCTCTGTTGAATCTGCCGAATTCAAGCACGCGGCACATCTGATGCATTATTTGCATTAACATGAAGCAGCAGCAAGACCGTACGGATACCGGCGTCGTGTATGCAGTCATCATCCGCCTTATCGCTGAGATCGAGCGATCAGTCAGCTAGCGAAACGAAGCTCGCTCACTCCACCCGCACCGGCGCCGCACCGGGGACGTTCCCCCTTGCCCAAGAATGAGAGAGCAGAATTGCTGGGAGCTTGCTTATCTCTCAGCCGTACCCCCAATTCTCTCGCCAAGCAGCACATACAGTACACAGACGGAGCATTCTCGTAGTAGCTACAGCGGCTGCGATGCTGACTGACTCGCTGCGGCACCTCGGTCGAGTGCGTCACATCTCACTTTGGCCCACGACTCACCGGCTAGCGAAAAAAGAAAAGAAAAAAACCTCCTGCCCATCCCATCCAACCGTCCAACCATACAAGGGGGCAAAGGGGACGAAAAGCAGCCGGAGATGGGGCGACTCTGAGCCGACTTTGTGGTTGACAACGGGTGTAGCGTGAGCGCCAAGGCTACACTCTTCTCGGGACGCAAACTCCTGTCTCGTATCTTTTCGGCATCAGATGAAGAGGAACAAAGACCGGCTTGCCATCACGTGTAGGAAAACGCTTCCATGTTGCATGCCTTGGCTAACTCGTACGTGCTTTTTTTGTAAGTGCTTCTTCTCTTGCCCGGCCGTTCGGCTGCACTGGTGATTGGCCAAGCCGTGCCTTTCGAAACTTGAACCCAACCGATCGGCGCCAAGTTGTGTAGCAGCGCAGCAGTAGCACCGCATATCACTTGCGCGGACTTTTCTTCCGCGCGCCTCGATTTCCTTTTTCTTCTGTTCATCACAAACGTTTGGCTTTCCGCCGGCAAATTTCCAAGACCTTTTTTAAGTTTTCCAGGTCGGAAGTTTGATCGATCCACGCCGGATGCTAGTATCGCACCCTTGTCGGATTATTGTGGAAAACTGGAGTTCACCAGCCACAATCACATGCCAGACATGAAGTTGTACCTTTTTTTTTTTTGTTCATGTCCCTTGTTGACCTCATCGTTCTGCAGTGACTGGATATTTTACTTATCGCGCTTGACGTGGGCCTGATTGCATTTTTTTCTATATTTACCAAATCTTGCATATGAATATCTGCATATGGGCTGTCGCACAGACACAACATCTCGGCTATAAGTTGCCATGTTACAGGCGTTGCTTGCAAGCATGTTTGCTGGCTCAGAATCACTTACATGTAGATCTTGCCCAAAAGACAGACACCATTCTCATATACTTACCCGTATATGCCTACTTTGATGAAGAGGGCATCTTTTGTTATCTCTGAGTGAGATCGAAGGGTGCATGTGTCGTACCACTAATTGTAAATAATATGGTGACTCTGCGATATGGGTTATGAGAGAACAATTCGCAGCCTAACAAAATGGTCATCTGAGCATCTATTATTTGCATAAGACCCAGTATTATCTTGGTCATTTCCATGATATGAAGACCCTCTTAGCAGCCTTGGCCCCTGATATTCATGACTACGATAGCTACGTGGTCATATGTTTCTCATCTCCGACTCAAAGGTCCGATTAGCGTGCATTATTCTCGGATTCCGACTCTGCTTCCAGCGAAAACCGCAACAAACCACGAAGCCATATGACTGAATGGCGGAATCTTGTATTCTTATTGGTTGGCTTATTCATCTATGCTCAAATAGTGATAAATAAACAAAATGAAAAGCAGGGTCCAGCTTAGCACAATGCTATCTAGACATGTCTGAGACAATTCCAACCTGTAGCTTATCCCTTTCGGCGAATAAAAACATCATAGCATCATGTTAGTCAACAAAATAAACTATGAACAAGACAGACGGCTGTCACAAGCCGCATTGAAAGGCCTCCGGCCGAGTCTAGCAAGATTTGATCCCAGCAATAGTAGTACTATTATCACCTGGCTAATCTTATATGCAAGCCACTTCCTTCTCCCTGGCTGTCTCGGCTGCCATGCAGATTTATTGCCCGCGTCATTGCGTCAGATATCCACCAGGGTGCTCTAAAAGTAGGGTTGCAGGACGCTTCGAGCCGTAGTCAACTAGCCAATTGCGCCATGGCTTCTAGGCAGAGCGTAACATTTCTCTGCAGGAGGAGTCTGCGCAGGATCTTCCCGAGGAGAATGGCATCTCGAAAGACCTTCGGTAGACATGTGATTTGACGAGAAATCTCTCAAACATGCGCCTCTTCATCAAATTTAGCCTTGCTCCGTTATATCACCAGTAGGATTACATCCAAGGATTCTCAAAGTAGTGATATCGTTGGAGGGGATGTCAACCCTGCGGTGTATCCTCTGTATTTTGTAGTGGAGTAAAGATTTGACATATTGCTGATCCTTTCTCTAATATACCATCCGCTTTGGCATGTGAAGGTCCGATTACAAAAATCAAGAGGCATCCCGTGATTGAGCAGAGAGAGAAATAACGCGGTAGAGATAAGCAGGGACCAGCTGACACTCCGACTTGGCGAACTACACAATGTAAGATCCCATATTCTATGATAGCACAAACGATTGATATGCACATGGGTTGCACATAGAGACTATGAGAAACTATATGAGTCACAGTATCAGGAACCACAGGCAATATGGCAGTTTTTAGGCCGTCTCTAGCAGCACCATATAGAAAGAATTACGGCTACGATACTACCTTGGTATACGCAGTCAGGTGGCCGTGTTTGCTCATCTACGTGATGGCTCGATAAATACTTCGTTTTCAGTCAGTACTTCGAGCCAAGTGTTAGCACACTGAATGATTTGGATATTGAGCTTTCTGAAAATGCATATGTACACAGACGATAAGAGAGCACGTCATGTTCGTAGTCTTTTCTTTCTTAGTTCGGTGTAGATAAATAGACTTCAAAAAGAATTGTGTACACCTTTACTATATCCTTCAATCCGCCAGTCGGAATTACCAGTGTTTCGCGGCATTCTAAGCCCATCTGACATATACCTAGATTAAGATCCAGCCTATCACGTATACTCCGTGCCTGCCTAGTAGTACTGCGGGTAGGCAGTGCACGTATGTAGATGCATGTGCTTTACTCCTTTAGTTGCGACGACTGTTGCGTGCATCGGCTAGTATTAATTCACAGCATTTTTAACCTCACCCGGGGCCACATGTACACCACACCGCTCCTGTGTCGACACACTACATATAGGTACATACCTATCAAACATTACCTGGGAATATCTTGGCCAGATTTCTTGTAATACCACATCATTTATATTATTACAGAGGTAATCTAAATCCACAACTACAACTATCAATATCAGTTTTCTTTTTGACACATCTTGTTACCCATCATCTTCAAAAATTGGCACATAATATCAGTGTTTAGGGTAAGTGTCTGGAGCGACTTGAAGTAGCTAATTGTACGAACACAATTACAGGTAGAGTCAAGACTACATAAAACGAAAAATGAGTCGGTATTGGAACTACTAGTCATTTATTCTATTTGTTGATACCGAAGTGCTTTCTCGAAGCTGAAAAGAACATCCGGATCAGTGATGTCGATGCATAGTGGGACAGTTCAAGGGTGATCTATGCTCGTATAACGCCAAATCTACGAATTGAGCGATTGCTCGCTTGTCCTGTCGAGTCTATCAAATGTAAAATGATAGCAATACCTATTGGGCTAACAGCCGTCCTTATTTTTGGTTGAGCAGCCATACAGGGACACTAGATGCATCGTGTTACATGGGACAGCAAACGCCGTGGTTTCACGACCTGGTCTAGCACTTGATCGGCAGCACAGGCCAGCATTGGCGTTACTTCAACTTCAGCTGAGTTGATACGTACCTGTATCTGTTGGTTGCTTGGTCCTGGTCCTTTTCAAACGGCTTGCTTTTTCCTTTTTCTTCTTCCCTTCTTTGCTTTTGTTACCCGTTACTTTGGGGGATCAAAAGCAAAACCGGCGTCGTCCCTTGCATTGTTGGAGGCATTTCTTGCATATACTTGCAGTAGCCGCCTTCGCCATGCGAAACACAACTGGAATGCGGAGCCCGCATATTGTCTACAGCCCAGGATGTTGTTTTTTATTTTTATTTCTGGAGAATGATTCAGGTTCAATGCAGCATGTAGCAGGTGACCCTGTGGTTCCGCCTCTCGGCTCGCCCTGCATATCCATATGTCACCTATCACATTTTGACAGTTGACAGCATGCGCTTGTAAATTGATACTTTCTGATGCTGCCGCTCATGACCAGGCTCAGCTCAGCACAGTGACATGAGGAGCAAACGGCGCGCTAGAACTGCCGCAATCCCATGCACAGACCTGCGCAGTATAATCTAGAATACTGCTAGTCCGCCGCGGATATCGTGGTGATGCGTCCAGGCCCGGAGAGCAGACCGCCTGCTGAGCTCGGCGCCCAGAGCCATTGGCGATATCGTACGAGGCGACGGTGCCAGTTTTCGGAACAAAAATACCACGAGAGCGCTTGGTCTTTGCGACAAGGTGGTATTATGAGGTTGGCAGCTGTAGTAATACTACCTCGTACCAAGTCTGTTTGACGCGGACGTGGGCCATGCATCCGAGGGCTACTACCCGAGACCCTACAGGTACATCGGCTCTGCAGGATGATTGTGCCACGGCTGGCGAGGACAAGACTATTGGCCGTGGCCAATTGTGGCTGTCAAAGGTGCGACGTGACGTTAGTTACATGTAGTTGAATGGACGGCACATATACAAGCTGAACAAGGGATATGCTTGATGATGGACGAGGATGGCCGAGAGGATCAACATTGGCCACGAACAAGTACCGAAGGACATCGAATACTTCGTAAATGAACACTAGAAGCTCCATGATTGTGCTAATAAAGTATATAAATGAACTGGAAGCTTGCTCGCACCCATTTCGAGAGCCACGGACCCGGATACGGAATGGAAGCGTCGCTGGCATTCTTCTTCAGGCAATCTTGCCGCTCCCCCACAAGTCACGGTATCAGTGATGGGTGCGATATGCATGGCGCCATATCTGTATGCAGGCACACGGGGGTGAAAATGCATACTATTGATCCATGCTCATCCCATCCCGTGTGTCTGTCTGTAATAGGTGCATGCAATCATGCAGGCGAGCATGTTAGTGCTCAGAGGCACCAGGACGGAGCACCTGTAGGGAGCACACATGCGCGCAACGTGCCGAGATGTGCCCTGTGAATGTCGGTTATGCACTCCATACTCTTAGTCTTTATGGAGTTTCAGAGCATAGAAGCATCAGTTGAGAACAAGACGGCAGAGAGCAGGGCCCAGGGGCAGCCCTGTTGTCGAACTGGTGACGAAATGCAGGCGGCTGGGGTCGACGAGATGAAGGGCTGCGCCGATTGGTAACGATGACGATGAGCAATCTGCCTTTATTTCCTGTACGAACGAGTGACAGGTTCTCCGTAGAATTGGCAGTACTGCTGGAGCTCCGCACCCCGTACTCGTATGGCCAGTGCCTCTAGAATGTGAAATGATTGATGAGTTGAGTGCTTTGATTGTCACAGGGCTGGTCATATACTTGGTAGCTCTTAGCAACCGGGCAACCCGTAGTCCGCACGGAGTACGGAAGTACAGTACCTGTGACGGAGGACACCGAGATGCGCAATCGGCTGGCTCTTCTTCTCCCTTGCATTCATTCTCCTCTTCCTCCATGTCTTGTTTTCCGCGGCGCAGCTGGCTTGACGAGGCAAGGAGGCAACCGAATGAGACTTTTCTTTTTTCTTTAGTATCCTCTGGTGAGTTTCAATTGGCGTCCAAGCTGCTTACGATGCTGATCCTTCATACTGTAGTCTACCTCCACAGAGCTTTAGCACACCAGTCCAG